CCCGGGGCCCCTCCAACTCACGTGCTGGGCTCACTTTTGCCCGGTGGCAGTGCCACCGCAGACGCATCCAACGCACTGCACCTGCCTTAGGGCTGCCCCGGTTTCTCCTCACAGGCCACCGTCAGCCTCCAGTGACAGCACCTGGGCACCTGCACCCCGTACACGTGCATAGGAAGGAGCACGCGTCTTGTCACATCTGAGCACCTCCTGCTCCACAGGAAGCATCCAAGCGCTCCGAGCCGTTTCGGAGAAAATGACAGCTGCTAAAACAAGGGCTGCTAAGCCAATCACTGAGCGCTCTGGTAACACGTGGCTTACCGAGTGTCACAAAATGGAGGCTCCTCCCTATGGCTTGTGGACTGAAACCAAATGGCGCCCCTGAAGCTTCACGAAATGGCGGCAGCTCACTCTGGAACGCCGACTGAAACAAAATGGCGCCTCCCAGTGTAGGTAGAGGGCAGGGATTTCCGGTCCTGGCCACTCCTGCCAGTGGGCTGGCCCAGTAGCGCTGGCACCTCCCCTTCCGTGCCCTGGCATGCACTCTGCGCAGCGCCGCAGGCTGGTAGCTGGGAAGAGCTGCAGGATGGAGGCGCCGCCTGGCGGAGCTCCACCACCCGCAGCAGCAGCAGCAGCAGCTGCACGATCCACACTGCTCGGCGTCTCACCGGCCAAGCGGTAGGGGGTGCTCGGCTGCCTATTGCGTGCAGCCAGTGTTCCTGAAACTGTGAAGTCAGTGAGGACGAGCATGGCTAGCAGTGAGTTTGGGGAGGGGGTTGGTGGCCCCTTTCTGCTTGGCCAGGAGGGCTGTTCCTGTCCTTAACCGGGACGGTGAGAGAACAAGTGTCCTGCACCCCCTGACTGTGTTTGTGCCATTGCAACTGCTGTGGCCGCGTGTGTCCCGGAGCTTCCTTTTCTCGGCATTACAAGCCCCGTAGCGGGCAAGTAAACCCAGCCGTTGCAAAAACAAATTCAGCTGGGTGAACACTCTAGTGCCCATTTTGTCCACGGGCTGCAAAGTGATGTTTGCAAGCTACGCTTCAGTGTGCCTTAAGCACACTGCAGGAGCCACCGGAGCTTTCAGCACAAAGGCTGGGGCAGGTGTAGCCACCACTTGCTTTCTGCTGCTGAGGAGCTCCTCCAACCAAAGCAGTCTTTGCTTTGTGTACCTTGCTTGATTTCAACATCCACACAGTGCAACAAAAGCATGAACTGGAAAGATCAGATGGCCCCTTTGGCGTCCACCAAAGCTTTTAGGAGTACGTGCACGTACCGTACTACTGTTGTTATCTTCATGCACGTGCGTCTATTGCCTAGTGCTGTCGTGGTTTAAGCCGGCAGACAGAAAAAACATCCCTCCCTCACTGGCCCCAGGCCAGGAGCCGGGATAAAGGAGGCAAGGTGAGGGTGCGAGGACTCCTGGGGCGGAGGGCCAGACTCAATTTTTTTTTTTATCAGGGAAAGCAAAAGCCCGGCCCGCACAACAAGGAAAACGGGCAACACAATCGCTGCTTCCCATCCGCAGGCAGGCCAATATTCAGCCACATCCAGGAACAGACGGCTCATTGCACGGAACAATCTCTTGGGAAGGCAACAGCATCCATCCCACCTTGACCCAGGCCTCCTGCTTGACACCTCCAGCTTTCCTTGCTGAGCGTGACATCCCGGCCAGTCTGGGCCGCCAGCTGTGTGGCTCTGTCTCCTGGCTGTGGCCGCTGCCAGCTTCTGCTCTGTCCCCTGCCTCCTCACGGGATGAACCGCACGAGAAGCAGAAAAGTCCTTGGCTCTGTGCAAGCACTGTTCTGCAACAGCTACAAACGTGCCTGTCTTAGGCACCCGTGTTCTCGTGAAAAGAATCCAAGCACCAGCACGCGGGAGACTCTGCAAGGCCCAGACCCTCCACCCCAGGCCAAATCACAACACTTATAGTACTGCAGTACTGCAGAGTGTCGGACAGTCTCTGGAGCACCTACTGCTAAGGAAACGCAATAGATGGACTGCCGTGTCTCAGGTGCGTTCCCTAGGGGTCCCTGTGAGCACATTTTGCTGCGCGGGCCTGACCTTGGCCGGCAGCCCCATGCCCACACAGCCACTCTCGCACTCTCTGTCCTCAGTAGGAGAGGGTGAAGAATAAGATGGGAAATCTCCAGCGCAAACACTGACACAGGGAGCTCACTCACCAACCACCTTCCCACGCAAAACAATCTCAACGTGTAGTGAGGGTGTTTATTTTATTGCCAATTGCAAACAGCGCTGGACTGCAAGGTGCATAAAGGTTTTCCACCTCTCCCCCTCTCTCTCGCTCCTTCCCAGGCTCGCTCTCTCTCCTAAATACTCAGTGCCCGGACCTCACCTCTGCACTTGCCTCGGGACCCACAGCCGTCACAGGCGGTCCGTCACAGCTCCTCTCCTGACGCTCCTTCCTCCTAACACTTCTCCCCTGCACCCACGCGGGTAAACGCAGCGCTGCTGCTTCCCTCGGGACACATCAGCCTCCTCTGCCATGCTCTCCTCCTCAGGCTGCAGGAGCTGCAGGGGAAGCTCTGCCCCAGCTCCCGGAGCACCCCACCTCCTCCCGCTGCCCCCTCTCTGGCTCCTCCTCCTCCCGTTCCTCATCTTTCTACCACCTCAGCCTGCCCCTCCTCTCGCTCCTCCTCCTGCTCCTCCTCCCCATCCACCTCCTGCTCCTCCTCTGCTCATCTTCACTTTTGCGGGCCCGTTTCGGACACTTTTCCTCCCTCTCTCCCAACTGCCTGACCGTATCTGCTCTCCTCTTGGTGTTCCCATCTGGATACGTGGCCCCGGGGCCCCTCCAACTCACGTGCTGGGCTCACTTTTGCCCGGTGGCAGTGCCACCGCAGACGCATCCAACGCACTGCACCTGCCTTAGGGCTGCCCCGGTTTCTCCTCACAGGCCACCGTCAGCCTCCAGTGACAGCACCTGGGCACCTGCACCCCGTACACGTGCATAGGAAGGAGCACGCGTCTTGTCACATCTGAGCACCTCCTGCTCCACAGGAAGCATCCAAGCGCTCCGAGCCGTTTCGGAGAAAATGACAGCTGCTAAAACAAGGGCTGCTAAGCCAATCACTGAGCGCTCTGGTAACACGTGGCTTACCGAGTGTCACAAAATGGAGGCTCCTCCCTATGGCTTGTGGACTGAAACCAAATGGCGCCCCTGAAGCTTCACGAAATGGCGGCAGCTCACTCTGGAACGCCGACTGAAACAAAATGGCGCCTCCCAGTGTAGGTAGAGGGCAGGGATTTCCGGTCCTGGCCACTCCTGCCAGTGGGCTGGCCCAGTAGCGCTGGCACCTCCCCTTCCGTGCCCTGGCATGCACTCTGCGCAGCGCCGCAGGCTGGTAGCTGGGAAGAGCTGCAGGATGGAGGCGCCGCCTGGCGGAGCTCCACCACCCGCAGCAGCAGCAGCAGCAGCTGCACGATCCACACTGCTCGGCGTCTCACCGGCCAAGCGGTAGGGGGTGCTCGGCTGCCTATTGCGTGCAGCCAGTGTTCCTGAAACTGTGAAGTCAGTGAGGACGAGCACGGCTAGCAGTGAGTTTGGGGAGGGGGTTGGTGGCCCCTTTCTGCTTGGCCAGGAGGGCTGTTCCTGTCCTTAACCGGGACGGTGAGAGAACAAGTGTCCTGCACCCCCTGACTGTGTTTGTGCCATTGCAACTGCTGTGGCCGCGTGTGTCCCGGAGCTTCCTTTTCTCGGCATTACAAGCCCCGTAGCGGGCAAGTAAACCCAGCCGTTGCAAAAACAAATTCAGCTGGGTGAACACTCTAGTGCCCATTTTGTCCACGGGCTGCAAAGTGATGTTTGCAAGCTACGCTTCAGTGTGCCTTAAGCACACTGCAGGAGCCACCGGAGCTTTCAGCACAAAGGCTGGGGCAGGTGTAGCCACCACTTGCTTTCTGCTGCTGAGGAGCTCCTCCAACCAAAGCAGTCTTTGCTTTGTGTACCTTGCTTGATTTCAACATCCACACAGTGCAACAAAAGCATGAACTGGAAAGATCAGATGGCCCCTTTGGCGTCCACCAAAGCTTTTAGGAGTACGTGCACGTACCGTACTACTGTTGTTATCTTCATGCACGTGCGTCTATTGCCTAGTGCTGTCGTGGTTTAAGCCGGCAGACAGAAAAAACATCCCTCCCTCACTGGCCCCAGGCCAGGAGCCGGGATAAAGGAGGCAAGGTGAGGGTGCGAGGACTCCTGGGGCGGAGGGCCAGACTCAATTTTTTTTTTTATCAGGGAAAGCAAAAGCCCGGCCCGCACAACAAGGAAAACGGGCAACACAATCGCTGCTTCCCATCCGCAGGCAGGCCAATATTCAGCCACATCCAGGAACAGACGGCTCATTGCACGGAACAATCTCTTGGGAAGGCAACAGCATCCATCCCACCTTGACCCAGGCCTCCTGCTTGACACCTCCAGCTTTCCTTGCTGAGCGTGACATCCCGGCCAGTCTGGGCCGCCAGCTGTGTGGCTCTGTCTCCTGGCTGTGGCCGCTGCCAGCTTCTGCTCTGTCCCCTGCCTCCTCACGGGATGAACCGCACGAGAAGCAGAAAAGTCCTTGGCTCTGTGCAAGCACTGTTCTGCAACAGCTACAAACGTGCCTGTCTTAGGCACCCGTGTTCTCGTGAAAAGAATCCAAGCACCAGCACGCGGGAGACTCTGCAAGGCCCAGACCCTCCACCCCAGGCCAAATCACAACACTTATAGTACTGCAGTACTGCAGAGTGTCGGACAGTCTCTGGAGCACCTACTGCTAAGGAAACGCAATAGATGGACTGCCGTGTCTCAGGTGCGTTCCCTAGGTGTCCGTGTGAGCACATTTTGCTGCGCGGGCCTGACCTTGGCCGGCAGCCCCATGCCCACACAGCCACTCTCGCACTCTCTGTCCTCAGTAGGAGAGGGTGAAGAATAAGACGGGAAATCTCCAGCGCAAACACTGACACAGGGAGCTCACTCACCAACCACCTTCCCACGCAAAACAATCTCAACGTGTAGTGAGGGTGTTTATTTTATTGCCAATTGCAAACAGCGCTGGACTGCAAGGTGCATAAAGGTTTTCCACCTCTCCCCCTCTCTCTCGCTCCTTCCCAGGCTCGCTCTCTCTCCTAAATACTCAGTGCCCGGACCTCACCTCTGCACTTGCCTCGGGACCCACAGCCGTCACAGGCGGTCCGTCACAGCTCCTCTCCTGACGCTCCTTCCTCCTAACACTTCTCCCCTGCACCCACGCGGGTAAACGCAGCGCTGCTGCTTCCCTCGGGACACATCAGCCTCCTCTGCCATGCTCTCCTCCTCAGGCTGCAGGAGCTGCAGGGGAAGCTCTGCCCCAGCTCCCGGAGCACCCCACCTCCTCCCGCTGCCCCCTCTCTGGCTCCTCCTCCTCCCGTTCCTCATCTTTCTACCACCTCAGCCTGCCCCTCCTCTCGCTCCTCCTCCTGCTCCTCCTCCCCATCCACCTCCTGCTCCTCCTCTGCTCATCTTCACTTTTGCGGGCCCGTTTCGGACACTTTTCCTCCCTCTCTCCCAACTGCCTGACCGTTTCTGCTCTCCTCTTGGTGTTCCCATCTGGATACGTGGCCCCGGGGCCCCTCCAACTCACGTGCTGGGCTCACTTTTGCCCGGTGGCAGTGCCACCGCAGACGCATCCAACGCACTGCACCTGCCTTAGGGCTGCCCCGGTTTCTCCTCACAGGCCACCGTCAGCCTCCAGTGACAGCACCTGGGCACCTGCACCCCGTACACGTGCATAGGAAGGAGCACGCGTCTTGTCACATCTGAGCACCTCCTGCTCCACAGGAAGCATCCAAGCGCTCCGAGCCGTTTCGGAGAAAATGACAGCTGCTAAAACAAGGGCTGCTAAGCCAATCACTGAGCGCTCTGGTAACACGTGGCTTACCGAGTGTCACAAAATGGAGGCTCCTCCCTATGGCTTGTGGACTGAAACCAAATGGCGCCCCTGAAGCTTCACGAAATGGCGGCAGCTCACTCTGGAACGCCGACTGAAACAAAATGGCGCCTCCCAGTGTAGGTAGAGGGCAGGGATTTCCGGTCCTGGCCACTCCTGCCAGTGGGCTGGCCCAGTAGCGCTGGCACCTCCCCTTCCGTGCCCTGGCATGCACTCTGCGCAGCGCCGCAGGCTGGTAGCTGGGAAGAGCTGCAGGATGGAGGCGCCGCCTGGCGGAGCTCCACCACCCGCAGCAGCAGCAGCAGCAGCTGCACGATCCACACTGCTCGGCGTCTCACCGGCCAAGCGGTAGGGGGTGCTCGGCTGCCTATTGCGTGCAGCCAGTGTTCCTGAAACTGTGAAGTCAGTGAGGACGAGCACGGCTAGCAGTGAGTTTGGGGAGGGGGTTGGTGGCCCCTTTCTGCTTGGCCAGGAGGGCTGTTCCTGTCCTTAACCGGGACGGTGAGAGAACAAGTGTCCTGCACCCCCTGACTGTGTTTGTGCCATTGCAACTGCTGTGGCCGCGTGTGTCCCGGAGCTTCCTTTTCTCGGCATTACAAGCCCCGTAGCGGGCAAGTAAACCCAGCCGTTGCAAAAACAAATTCAGCTGGGTGAACACTCTAGTGCCCATTTTGTCCACGGGCTGCAAAGTGATGTTTGCAAGCTACGCTTCAGTGTGCCTTAAGCACACTGCAGGAGCCACCGGAGCTTTCAGCACAAAGGCTGGGGCAGGTGTAGCCACCACTTGCTTTCTGCTGCTGAGGAGCTCCTCCAACCAAAGCAGTCTTTGCTTTGTGTACCTTGCTTGATTTCAACATCCACACAGTGCAACAAAAGCATGAACTGGAAAGATCAGATGGCCCCTTTGGCGTCCACCAAAGCTTTTAGGAGTACGTGCACGTACCGTACTACTGTTGTTATCTTCATGCACGTGCGTCTATTGCCTAGTGCTGTCGTGGTTTAAGCCGGCAGACAGAAAAAACATCCCTCCCTCACTGGCCCCAGGCCAGGAGCCGGGATAAAGGAGGCAAGGTGAGGGTGTGTGGACTCCTGGGGCGGAGGGCCAGACTCAATTTTTTTTTTTATCAGGGAAAGCAAAAGCCCGGCCCGCACAACAAGGAAAACGGGCAACACAATCGCTGCTTCCCATCCGCAGGCAGGCCAATATTCAGCCACATCCAGGAACAGACGGCTCATTGCACGGAACAATCTCTTGGGAAGGCAACAGCATCCATCCCACCTTGACCCAGGCCTCCTGCTTGACACCTCCAGCTTTCCTTGCTGAGCGTGACATCCCGGCCAGTCTGGGCCGCCAGCTGTGTGGCTCTGTCTCCTGGCTGTGGCCGCTGCCAGCTTCTGCTCTGTCCCCTGCCTCCTCACGGGATGAACCGCACGAGAAGCAGAAAAGTCCTTGGCTCTGTGCAAGCACTGTTCTGCAACAGCTACAAACGTGCCTGTCTTAGGCACCCGTGTTCTCGTGAAAAGAATCCAAGCACCAGCACGCGGGAGACTCTGCAAGGCCCAGACCCTCCACCCCAGGCCAAATCACAACACTTATAGTACTGCAGTACTGCAGAGTGTCGGACAGTCTCTGGAGCACCTACTGCTAAGGAAACGCAATAGATGGACTGCCGTGTCTCAGGTGCGTTCCCTAGGTGTCCCTGTGAGCACATTTTGCTGCGCGGGCCTGACCTTGGCCGGCAGCCCCATGCCCACACAGCCACTCTCGCACTCTCTGTCCTCAGTAGGAGAGGGTGAAGAATAAGACGGGAAATCTCCAGCGCAAACACTGACACAGGGAGCTCACTCACCAACCACCTTCCCACGCAAAACAATCTCAACGTGTAGTGAGGGTGTTTATTTTATTGCCAATTGCAAACAGCGCTGGACTGCAAGGTGCATAAAGGTTTTCCACCTCTCCCCCTCTCTCTCGCTCCTTCCCAGGCTCGCTCTCTCTCCTAAATACTCAGTGCCCGGACCTCACCTCTGCACTTGCCTCGGGACCCACAGCCGTCACAGGCGGTCCGTCACAGCTCCTCTCCTGACGCTCCTTCCTCCTAACACTTCTCCCCTGCACCCACGCGGGTAAACGCAGCGCTGCTGCTTCCCTCGGGACACATCAGCCTCCTCTGCCATGCTCTCCTCCTCAGGCTGCAGGAGCTGCAGGGGAAGCTCTGCCCCAGCTCCCGGAGCACCCCACCTCCTCCCGCTGCCCCCTCTCTGGCTCCTCCTCCTCCCGTTCCTCATCTTTCTACCACCTCAGCCTGCCCCTCCTCTCGCTCCTCCTCCTGCTCCTCCTCCCCATCCACCTCCTGCTCCTCCTCTGCTCATCTTCACTTTTGCGGGCCCGTTTCGGACACTTTTCCTCCCTCTCTCCCAACTGCCTGACCGTTTCTGCTCTCCTCTTGGTGTTCCCATCTGGATACGTGGCCCCGGGGCCCCTCCAACTCACGTGCTGGGCTCACTTTTGCCCGGTGGCAGTGCCACCGCAGACGCATCCAACGCACTGCACCTGCCTTAGGGCTGCCCCGGTTTCTCCTCACAGGCCACCGTCAGCCTCCAGTGACAGCACCTGGGCACCTGCACCCCGTACACGTGCATAGGAAGGAGCACGCGTCTTGTCACATCTGAGCACCTCCTGCTCCACAGGAAGCATCCAAGCGCTCCGAGCCGTTTCGGAGAAAATGACAGCTGCTAAAACAAGGGCTGCTAAGCCAATCACTGAGCGCTCTGGTAACACGTGGCTTACCGAGTGTCACAAAATGGAGGCTCCTCCCTATGGCTTGTGGACTGAAACCAAATGGCGCCCCTGAAGCTTCACGAAATGGCGGCAGCTCACTCTGGAACGCCGACTGAAACAAAATGGCGCCTCCCAGTGTAGGTAGAGGGCAGGGATTTCCGGTCCTGGCCACTCCTGCCAGTGGGCTGGCCCAGTAGCGCTGGCACCTCCCCTTCCGTGCCCTGGCATGCACTCTGCGCAGCGCCGCAGGCTGGTAGCTGGGAAGAGCTGCAGGATGGAGGCGCCGCCTGGCGGAGCTCCACCACCCGCAGCAGCAGCAGCAGCAGCTGCACGATCCACACTGCTCGGCGTCTCACCGGCCAAGCGGTAGGGGGTGCTCGGCTGCCTATTGCGTGCAGCCAGTGTTCCTGAAACTGTGAAGTCAGTGAGGACGAGCACGGCTAGCAGTGAGTTTGGGGAGGGGGTTGGTGGCCCCTTTCTGCTTGGCCAGGAGGGCTGTTCCTGTCCTTAACCGGGACGGTGAGAGAACAAGTGTCCTGCACCCCCTGACTGTGTTTGTGCCATTGCAACTGCTGTGGCCGCGTGTGTCCCGGAGCTTCCTTTTCTCGGCATTACAAGCCCCGTAGCGGGCAAGTAAACCCAGCCGTTGCAAAAACAAATTCAGCTGGGTGAACACTCTAGTGCCCATTTTGTCCACGGGCTGCAAAGTGATGTTTGCAAGCTACGCTTCAGTGTGCCTTAAGCACACTGCAGGAGCCACCGGAGCTTTCAGCACAAAGGCTGGGGCAGGTGTAGCCACCACTTGCTTTCTGCTGCTGAGGAGCTCCTCCAACCAAAGCAGTCTTTGCTTTGTGTACCTTGCTTGATTTCAACATCCACACAGTGCAACAAAAGCATGAACTGGAAAGATCAGATGGCCCCTTTGGCGTCCACCAAAGCTTTTAGGAGTACGTGCACGTACCGTACTACTGTTGTTATCTTCATGCACGTGCGTCTATTGCCTAGTGCTGTCGTGGTTTAAGCCGGCAGACAGAAAAAACATCCCTCCCTCACTGGCCCCAGGCCAGGAGCCGGGATAAAGGAGGCAAGGTGAGGGTGTGTGGACTCCTGAGGCGGAGGGCCAGACTCAATTTTTTTTTTTATCAGGGAAAGCAAAAGCCCGGCCCGCACAACAAGGAAAACGGGCAACACAATCGCTGCTTCCCATCCGCAGGCAGGCCAATATTCAGCCACATCCAGGAACAGACGGCTCATTGCACGGAACAATCTCTTGGGAAGGCAACAGCATCCATCCCACCTTGACCCAGGCCTCCTGCTTGACACCTCCAGCTTTCCTTGCTGAGCGTGACATCCCGGCCAGTCTGGGCCGCCAGCTGTGTGGCTCTGTCTCCTGGCTGTGGCCGCTGCCAGCTTCTGCTCTGTCCCCTGCCTCCTCACGGGATGAACCGCACGAGAAGCAGAAAAGTCCTTGGCTCTGTGCAAGCACTGTTCTGCAACAGCTACAAACGTGCCTGTCTTAGGCACCCGTGTTCTCGTGAAAAGAATCCAAGCACCAGCACGCGGGAGACTCTGCAAGGCCCAGACCCTCCACCCCAGGCCAAATCACAACACTTATAGTACTGCAGTACTGCAGAGTGTCGGACAGTCTCTGGAGCACCTACTGCTAAGGAAACGCAATAGATGGACTGCCGTGTCTCAGGTGCGTTCCCTAGGTGTCCGTGTGAGCACATTTTGCTGCGCGGGCCTGACCTTGGCCGGCAGCCCCATGCCCACACAGCCACTCTCGCACTCTCTGTCCTCAGTAGGAGAGGGTGAAGAATAAGACGGGAAATCTCCAGCGCAAACACTGACACAGGGAGCTCACTCACCAACCACCTTCCCACGCAAAACAATCTCAACGTGTAGTGAGGGTGTTTATTTTATTGCCAATTGCAAACAGCGCTGGACTGCAAGGTGCATAAAGGTTTTCCACCTCTCCCCCTCTCTCTCGCTCCTTCCCAGGCTCGCTCTCTCTCCTAAATACTCAGTGCCCGGACCTCACCTCTGCACTTGCCTCGGGACCCACAGCCGTCACAGGCGGTCCGTCACAGCTCCTCTCCTGACGCTCCTTCCTCCTAACACTTCTCCCCTGCACCCACGCGGGTAAACGCAGCGCTGCTGCTTCCCTCGGGACACATCAGCCTCCTCTGCCATGCTCTCCTCCTCAGGCTGCAGGAGCTGCAGGGGAAGCTCTGCCCCAGCTCCCGGAGCACCCCACCTCCTCCCGCTGCCCCCTCTCTGGCTCCTCCTCCTCCCGTTCCTCATCTTTCTACCACCTCAGCCTGCCCCTCCTCTCGCTCCTCCTCCTGCTCCTCCTCCCCATCCACCTCCTGCTCCTCCTCTGCTCATCTTCACTTTTGCGGGCCCGTTTCGGACACTTTTCCT